TTTCTGGGTTGGGGGGGTGGCAGTCAGAGCTGCACCCAGTCACAGAGCACCAGCCCCTCACTGATCCTCCTGCAGGTGGTGGGTCCACAGGAGCTGAGATCTTTCAGTTGGGGCTTTGGGCAAAGTAGGGTTAAGTGTCTTGCCCAAGGACACAACGACAGCAGTCATCAGTGGGAGTCGTGAAGTAGGTCTTATGGTGGGCTTGAACCCACGACCTTCAGGCCCAAAGGCCAATGCTCTACCAACTGAGCTACTGTCGCCCCAAATAATTCATTCTTCAAATAATTGTTGTTAAACTTTACCTTGACTGAATTTGGACGTTTGGCCCTCCATACAATCACTTGCTCCTCGAGTAGAACCGCTCTGCCTCCTCCGCTGAGTCAAACAAGTGCGTCTGTCCGTTCAAGGTGATTCTCAAGCGGGCTGGATAGATGACGCCAAAGCGTATTCCATCTTTGTAGAGCTGGCTCTTGATCTTGTTGAAACTGGCCCGCTTCTTTGCGATGGTGTTGCTGAAATCTTCAAAGATCCGGATAGGCTGCCCCAGATATGATACATCGCGGTTCTTCTTGGCCCATTGCAAGACTTTTTCTCTGTGGATGTACCTGTGGAACCTAACGATGAGGGGTCGGGATCCTTGGAGTGGCTTTGGGGCCAGACTGCGATGAGCGCGGTCGAGTTCGAGGTCCAGGTCTTGAAGAGCATCTCCGCTGACTTTTTTAAGCATTGTGGTGACGAAGAGACGAGTGTCAGCGCCCTCCGCCCCCTCCGGGACGCCGACAATGCGGAGATTATTTCTTTTGGAGCGAGAAATCAGGTCTTCCACGGTCAATTGGAGCTTCTCGTTCACCTGTTTGACTGTCATTAGTTCAGACTGAAGCGTGGTCACCTGCTCCTCCAGGGCGGTGATCCCATCTGAATGAGAGGAGAGAGCTGTCTCCATGGCGTCAATGGTGGCGGTGTGTGAAGTGACAGTCTCAGTCAGAGTTTGGATCGAGGCTTGAAGAGGAGCCAAAGCGCTGTTTATGGACCCGGTGAGCTCACTTGTCACACTTTTATGAAGCTTCTCCAACTCTCCGACTAGCATGCTCAGTGTTAGCGGCTCCTGGCTAGCTTCCTTGTCTTGTTGGCTAAAGTGCTGTGTTAGCGGAGGCTGGTTTTTACCTCGGCCGCTGCTCGTTTTACTCATTTTGGTGCTCAGAGGTGTAATAGTACTTCTCGTGGCTTAGCAAGTACAAATCATGATAAAGTTCGGCGTGTATTAATAAGAACTGAGCTGCAGAATCAGGGAGCTTTTCACGTGCGTCTGATCACACCGACGCCATTACCGGAACCCCCCCTAAATGTGTAAATTTGACCTAAATGTCCTATATGTCTCTGTGCGTTTGTTGCCTGTCTGTATATATTACCTTCTGTCTGTTTCATTTAGCCCTCCAGTCCTCCTCTTATGGCGTCTTTCAATTGTCTTTGTCTCATGGTGTCCACTGTCCTTGTCTCAATGCCTTTTTTCTTCTTCTTTCAATCAATCACTTTCTTTTTTCTTCCGATAACTTTTTCTCATAATGTCTTTCTTCTTCTTTCAATCTTTTTCTTCTCCTTGCAATGTCTTTTTCTTTCATGTCTTCTTTGTCTCATATTTGACGCACACAAATGTGTTGTCGTGCTCTTCTGCTCGGCTCACACACCGTTCCTCTTCCTGCACATAACTTCACCCAGTTTGTGCAAAAGTCTGTGGCCTTTACTTTGCTGCAGATGATGATGATGATGCTGCTGCTGCAGCCAATACTGCTGCGGATGATGATGATGCTGCTGCTGCTGCAGCCAATACTGCTGCAGATGATGATGATGCTGCTGCTGTTGCTGCAGCCAATACTGCTGCGGATGATGATGATGATGCTGCTGCTGCTGCTGCTGCCGATACTGCTGCAGATGATGATGATGCTGCTGCTGTTGCTGCAGCCGATACTGCTGCGGATGATGATGATGATGCTGCTGCTGCTGCTGCCGATACTGCTGCGGATGATGATGATGATGCTGCTGCTGTAGATGGGGGAGACGCTACAGTCCTTTGTGGCAGTGACTTGGCTGCGCTCAGTTGTGGCAGTGGCCTGGCAATCGGCCAATGAAACAGACAGAAGGGTTTTCTCGGAAAAAAAAAAAAAACAGACAAACAAGTGTGTTAATACAATACAAAACCAATGAATAATTGCAAATCTAAATAAACCTATGAAATAATTAATATTAACATATTAAACATTAAATTCTGAAAACCAAATCTGTATTCAACTGCTATCCTAAGCCCTATTTTCCAAAAGTATAACGCTCTCTAAGATCATTTTAAATTTTATATCACCAAAATGTTGGGAAAAAATGTTTAATAACTTGTCTAGACGTTTGGAGATGGTCAAAAGAATAAAATAATGCCTCTTTATAATCTAACTCAAAGTTCTGTGATCATATGACTCCATGACAGTAACATTATCGTGTGTATAAATGTAATTTTCTACAAAAAAATATTTGGTATGTTTCTTTCTTAACTGGAGAGAGGGAGAGAGAGAGAGAGCAGACAGAAAGAGGGAGGGGAGGGGCTGAGTGGCCTGTATGCCTCAAGCATTTATCAGAGAGGGAGAAGGAGGGAGAAGGAGGGAGAAGGAGGGAGAAGGAGGGAGAAGGAGGGAGAAGGAGGGAGAAGGAGGGAGAAGGAGGGAGAAGGAGGGAGAAGGAGGGAGAAGGAGGGAGAAGGAGGGAGAAGGAGGGAGAAGGAGGGAGAAGGAGGGAGAAGGAGGGAGAAGGAGGGGCTTTGTGGCTTCTCAAACAGAGGAGAACATGTACGACCAAATACACCAAATTCATGAACATCCCCTTTAAAATTTGCTACATTTTCCTCGTTTTTTATCGTGACAATGTTTTATCAGTGGTGAGAGTTCTCTCACGTCAAACAACACTTTGCACTTATTTAAATACGTAAGTAATGGAAAACATTACAATTTGCTTACATGACTAATGCATCACTAGGTACAGCAGGGTCTTTTTCGTAATACCTCTGTAACTATTGAAACATTACATCAGAATACAAGAGAAATCCCAGAACTGATCATTCTGGTCATTTCTCCACATGAAACTCGACAGCCAAGTGGCTCCTTTTTTTTTTTTCATTAATCAGATCATTATTATTCAATAGTCAGAATCCAACAGTTTAAATGCTTGGCTTTTTTGTTTAAATTAAATGTACCCTTTCTCCCGCCCCCCGGGGGATATGGAAGGTTTTATTCCCTGTAACTTCTGACCCTAGCTGTCCCTATTTCTAATTATATTTCTATTTTCACTAAACACTTGTGCCTCTCTGCACTTTAAAACGGTGTGCCTCTTTTGCACTTCTAAAACCCTTGTGGACTTTCTTTTCCCTTTTTGTTTTTTAGAGGGGACCCCAAAATTCCCTCAAGGTTAAACGTCAAATAAACCTGACTATTGTTTTATCGCGTCCGATAAAACGCCCGTCACGGCGAGTCTGTCCACACCTGCAGTCATGTTGGGCCGAGATCTCTCTCTCTTCTATTAAAAACAATGTGCAGATTCTCAAAAATATGATCTGCTTACCTGTGTTTTGCAGAGTAGAGAGCTCCCAAACCCACAGACCCGGTTTCTCTATCTGAGCTCATCTTGAGTCTTCTTTCTGTATCAAATCACGTCGGGGTCACCATCTGTTGTCAAAAAAGATTTGACTGACGTGTTCAAAGTTTGATACAGAAAACAGACGAAGATATCCAAGTTTAACATCTGTATTTAATTTATCTTTACAATCAGATACAGAATATTCAACAAAAAGAGCTCCTAAACTATGCTATGCTGTCCCTGTGCTCACTGACTGAAAATCTCCTCCCAGCAGTTTCTATCAGAAGGTCCGATGACGTCACAGGTCCCAGACTGGTCCAGTCTGATCCAGCTTTTTCTGGTTTTGGGAGGTGCGTACTCCAGCCAGCCCATGGACTCCGGACTTTGTCTGGTCTGGTCTTGGTCTGGTCTGACATCAATCTCCTTCTCCAAACAACTCTTATCTGGCTGGGGGAGCTCTGCATTCCTCACATGGTCTGGCCGACTCGACTAAACCCCACTAATATGAAATCACTGAAAATATAAACGACGTGTGCAGCATTTCTTGAGATGATGCATTAATACACAAGGCAATTCAAAGTGCTGAACAAAACAAGAAAGCATTAAAATCATAAATAATTACAGTACATTAAAAAGAAAGATAGAAATATAAAATCCCTCAGTTGTAGCACAGCTAAACAGAACCGTCTTTAACCTGGTTTTAAACATTGTCAGAGAGGAGGCCTGTCTCACATCTTCAGGAAGACTGTTCCAGATTTTAGCAGCATGAATCTGAAAAGCAGCCTCCCCATGTTTAGTTCTGACTCTGGGCACTAACAGGAGTCCAGTCCCTGTGCTCCTCAGAGTCCCAGCAGGAGGCCAGTCCCTGTGCTCCTCAGAGTCCCAGCAGGAGGCCAGTCCCTGTGCTCCTCAGAGTCCCAGCAGGAGTCCAGTCCCTGTGCTCCTCAGAGTCCCAGCAGGAGTCCAGTCCCTGTGCTCCTCAGAGTCCCAGCAGGAGTCCAGTCCCTGTGCTCCTCAGAGTCCCAGCAGGAGTCCAGTCCCTGTGCTCCTCAGAGTCCCAGCAGGAGTCCAGTCCCTGTGCTCCTCAGAGTCCCAGCAGGAGTCCAGTCCCTGTGCTCCTCAGAGTCCGGGCTGGTTCATATGGGACTAACATGTCACTAATATATTTTGGTGCGAGGCCATGGAGAGACTTGTAACAAGCAGAGCTGTTTTAAAGTCTATTCTCTGAGCCACAGGAAGCCAGTGCAGAGACCTGAGGACCGGACTAATGTGGTCGTACTTCCTGGTTCTAGTCAGGACTAATGTGGTCGTACTTCCTGGTTCTAGTCAGGACTAATGTGGTCGTACTTCCTGGTTCTAGTCAGGACTAATGTGGTCGTACTTCCTGGTTCTAGTCAGGACTAATGTGGTCGTACTTCCTGGTTCTAGTCAGGACTAATGTGGTCGTACTTCCTGGTTCTAGTCAGGACTAATGTGGTCGTACTTCCTGGTTCTAGTCAGGACTAATGTGGTCGTACTTCCTGGTTCTAGTCAGGACTGGAGCTGCTGCATTTTGAATGTACTGCAGCTGTTTTACAGCCTGTTTGGACAGACCTGTGAGCAGGCCATTGCAGTAGTCTAACCTACTGGAGACAAATGCATGGGATAAGAATCTCCAAGTCTGCTTTAGACACTATGTTTTTGATCCTGGCAATGTTTTTTAGATGGTAAAAAGCTGCTGATGTTACTGATTTGATGTGGCTATTAAAATTTAAGTCTGAGTCCAGTATTACCCCTAGATTTCTGACCTTGTTTGAAGGTTTTAGGGAGAGAGACTGGAGGTGACAGATGACGCTCTCTCTTTGTTTCTGGGGACCAAAGACAATCATTTCAGGTTTGTCTGCGTTTAGCTGAAGGAAGTTGTTTTGCATCCACTCACTGATCTGTTGGATACAGTGAAGGAGTGAGTCCACTGGCCCATGTTCTCCTGCAGTCAGTGAGACATAGATCTGAGTGTCGTCTGCATAGTTATGATAGGACACTTTGTTTCTGCGTATTAACTGACCTAACGGCAACATGTAGAGATTGAACAGAAGAGGTCCCAGGATCGACCCCTGTGGTACTCCACAGGTCAGGGCCATATGATCTGAGACACAGTTTCCAATCTCCACAAAGTACTTCCTGTCTTCAAGGTAAGACCTAAACCAACTTAGGGCGGTGCCAGCGACGCCAACCCAGTCCTCTAGTCTCTGTAAGAGGATCTCATGGTCGACGGTGTCAAAGGCAGCACTTAGATCTAACAAGATTAAGATTGAGACTTTGCCTGCGTCAGTGTTCAGCCGGATATCGTTTGTAACCTTAACGAGAGCAGTCTCAGTGCTGTGGTGGGGTCTAAAGCCGGACTGAAACATATCAAATGAGTTGTTGATTATAAGAAATCTAGTAAGCTGTAGGTAGACAACTTTCTCAAGGACTTTCCCCATAAATGGCAGATTTGAGATGGGACGATAGTTGTTAAGTACCGTAGCATCCAGACTGCTCTTTTTTAGCAGGGGCCTGATGACTGCAGTTTTCAGGGCCTTTGGGAATATTCCAGAATGAAGGGACATGTTTACTATCTGTGTGAGTGAAGGTAACAGACTGCTCAGAACAGACTTCAGAAATCTAGTGGGTAGTACATCCAGGCTGCATGTGGAGGAGCTCAAACTGGAGATTATCTCTTGGACAGTTTTATCATTTACAGGTGCAAAGTGAGTTAGCTCAGAGAGCCTTTCTGGCTGTTGGATGGTTATCTGTGGATTGGAGACAATGGCGTTTTTGATGCCTTGAACCTTGTCATTGAAAAAATTAGCAAACTCATTGCATTTACGTTTGGAAGTAAGCTCTAATGGCATCTGAACAGGGGGGTTTGTTAATCTATTAACTGTTGAGAACAGAACACGCAGATTGTTGCTGCAGCCTTCAATCATTTTAGAAAAATACCTTTCTCTCGTACTACGTAGCACCCGGTTAAACTCGCACAACTTATCTTTGAAGATCTCGTAATCAACCTGGAGGTTGGACTTGCGCCACTTCCGCTCGGCCCTCCGGCACTCTCTCTTTTGTGCCCTGACCGAGTCTGCTTTAGCCCACGGCGCCTTCTGCTTATTTTTCACTATTTTAACCTTCACAGGGGCGACGGTATCCAGAACATTCAAAACACTAGAGGTGACAGAGTTAAACAGTTCATCTACAGTAGAATACGATGCATTCTCAAAGTTTATCATTTCCATAAATAGTTCACTCGTATTTTCATTTATGTGTCTTCTTCGTACAGTTGCAGAGTCCACTGGTGGTTTGTTAGTGAAACACATGTCAAAAAATACACAGAAATGATCTGAAAGAGCAACATCGACCACGTTTACATTTGAAATATTCACCCCCTTAGTAACTAACAGATCTAGAGTGTGCCCTCTGCTGTGGGTGGGGCCACTCACATGCTGAGTGAGATCAAAGGATTCAAGTACAGAACTCAGCTCATTTGCATTTCTGTCATTAACATTATCCACATGAATATTAAAATCACCTGTAATAACTACACCTACATTACACTCGACACCTCTCTACACACCTCTACACCTCTCTACACAGCTCTCTACACCTCTCTACACACCTCTCTACACACCTCTCTACACACCTCTACACCTCTCTACACACCTCTCTACACACCTCTCTACACACCTCTACACATCTCTACACACCTCTCTACACCTCTCTACACCTCTCTACACATCTCTACACACCTCTCTACACATCTCTACACCTCTCTACACCTCTCTACACATCTCTACACACCTCTACACCTCTCTACACACCTCTACACCTCTCTGCACACCTCTCTACACCTCTCTACACCTCTCTACACATCTCTACACACCTCTCTACACATCTCTACACCTCTCTACACCTCTCTACACATCTCTACACACCTCTACATCTCTCCTCTGCACACCTCTACACACCTCTCTACACCTCTCTACACCTCTCTACACACCTCTCTACACCTCTCTACACACCTCTCTACACCTCTCTACACCTCTCTACACACCTCTCTACACATCTCTACACCTCTCTACACCTCTCTACACACCTCTCTACACCTCTCTACACACCTCTCTACACCTCTCTACACCTGTCTACTCACCTCTACACACCTCTCTACACCTCTCTACACACCTCTACACCTCTCTACACATCTCTACACACCTCTCTACACCTCTACACACCTCTACACACCTCTACACATCTCTACACACCTCTCTACACCTCTACACCTCTCTACACACCTCTACACATCTCTACACACCTCTACACCTCTCTACACCTCTCTACACACCTCTACACCTCTCTACACATCTCTACACACCTCTCTACACCTATCTACACACCTCTACACACCTCTCTACACCTCTCTACACATCTCTACACTGCTCTCTACACACCTCTACACCTCTCTGCACACCTCTACACACCTCTCTACACCTCTCTACACACCTCTACACCTCTCTACACACCTCTCTACACCTCTCTACACACCTCTACACACCTCTCTACACCTCTCTGCACACCTCTACACACACCTCTCTACACCTCTCTACACACCTCTACACCTCTCTACACACCTCTCTACACCTCTCTACACATCTCTACACACCTCTCTACACCTCTCTACACACGTCTACACACCTCTCTACACCTCTCTACACACCTCTACACCTCTCTACACATCTCTACACACCTCTACACCTCTTTACACCTCTCTACACACCTCTACACCTCTCTACACACCTCTCTACACCTCTCTACACATCTCTACACACCTCTCTACACCTATCTACACACCTCTACACACCTCTCTACACCTCTCTACACACCTCTACACACCTCTCTACACCTCTCTACACCTCTCTACACCCACAATCCAACCTGCGTCGCACAAACTCACTCTGCGTCCAGGAGACTCAGGAGGTGTGTCTCTTTCAAGAGGTGTGTGTCTCTCTCTCAGGAGGTGTGTGTCTCTCAGGAGGTGTGTGTCTCTCTCTCAGGAGGTGTGTGTCTCTCAGGAGGTGTGTGTCTCTCTCTCAGGAGGTGTGTCTCTCTCTCAGGAGGTGTGTGTCTCTCTCTCAGGAGGTGTGTCTCTCTCTCAGGAGGTGTGTGTCTCTCAGGAGGTGTGTGTCTCTCTCAGGAGGTGTGTGTCTCTCAGGAGGTGTGTGTCTCTCTTAGGAGGTGTGTGTCTCTCTCTCAGGAGGGGTGTGTCTCTCAGCAGGTGTGTGTCTCTCTCAGGAGGTGTGTGTCTCTCTCAGGAGGTGTGTGTCTCTCTCAGGAGGTGTGTGTCTCTCTCAGGAGGTGTGTGTCTCTCTCAGGAGGTGTGTGTCTCTCTCAGGAGGTGTGTGAGGTCCTGCGTCTGGGCCTTAACGTGGGCAGGTTCTCAAACTGTGGACCCAGCCCCAACACGGACAAATATATTCATTTAATTCAATTCAATGTTTTTGCAGCAGCAGGACTTTACAGGACTGAGGCTGTAGACCCAGGACTGAGGCTGTAGACCCAGGACTGAGGCTGTAGACCCAGGACTGAGGCTGTAGACCCAGGACTGAGGCTGTAGACCCAGGACTGAGGCTGTAGACCCAGGACTGAGGCTGTAGACCCAGGACTGAGGCTGTAGACCCAGGACTGAGGCTGTAGACCCAGGACTGAGGCTGTAGACCCAGGACTGAGGCTGTAGACCCAGGACTGAGACTGTAGACCCAGGACTGAGGCCGTAGACCCAGGACTGAGGCTGTAGATCCAGGACTGAGGCTGTAGACCCAGGACTGAGGCCTTAGACCCAGGACTGAGGCTGTAGACCCAGGACTGAGGCTGTAGACCCAGGACTGAGGCTGTAGACCCAGGACTGAGGCTGTAGACCCAGGACTGAGGCTGTAGACCCAGGACTGAGGCTGTAGACCCAGGACTGAGGCTGTAGACCCAGGACTGAGGCTGTAGACCCAGGACTGAGGCTGTAGACCCAGGACTGAGGCTGTAGACCCAGGACTGAGGCTGTAGACCCAGGACTGAGACTGTAGACCCAGGACTGAGGCTGTAGACCCAGGACTGAGACTGTAGACCCAGGACTGAGGCTGTAGACCCAGGACTGCTTTGGTTTAAGACGAGACATAAGTGCAATAATAACAATCACAAGAGCCACTGGTCCATGGGGCCTGATGTGGCCCCTGTGGCCCTGGATGTGGCCCAGGACAGGGGCCACAGGAGCCACAGGGGCCACAGGGGCCCTCTGAACAGTAGGCTGTAGCACCTCTGCTTCCTCTTCTCTCTTTGAGCGGTTTATTGCCTCTTGTCGGGGCCATCGCGCCGCACCTCGTCCCGGGGGCCCCTCTTGGCCTCAGTCCTCGCCGTGACTTCCAGCCGCTCTCTTTGATGAGGCAGAAATGGCGTTATGAGGGTGATTCATCACCGTTAAACACGCTCCTCTCGGCCGCACTGCTGAGAAGAATGATCCTGGAGAAAGAAGGAGCGCGGCGGGCGGAGGGCGAGCGGAGAGAGCGCGGTGAGGGCGCCATGAGAGCGGCCCGCGGGGAGTCGTTTGAGCCGCTGCTGTAACCACGCAGGCTGCAGCGACACAATAAAACACGTGCATTTAAGGGTTTCAAAGTGGCGTTCCCGCTCTTCTGACGGCCATAAATTGCGAACAAACCGGGCGTGTGCGAGCGCCGTAAACGCTTCATAATTCATACCTTTGGGGAGAAACTGTGGATTAAGTCTTCTTCATGATGCACTGCCTCCTCGCTGCCACGCTCGGCTAATAGCTGCGGCGGATGTTATTGGACGGAAAAGGGAGGCGCTCTGTACGGCGCATGATTGGACTCGGGGGTGTGCGGCAGCGGTGCGATCCCCTGTGCCCCGTTCATGTCATCTGCAAAGCATCATTTTTAAATCACTATTTTGATTACATCTGTTTTTGCAGCTCTTGATCTGCGCCGCGCTCATATTGGTAATCAAAGCGCGGCACAAACGCTCCTCTGGGACAGTGTCATTATATTTAACAAACCGATAGGAGCCGCGGACGGTCGCTCCGGGCGCCGCGGTGGACCCTCTCCACGGGTTTGGCCATTTTAATGAAAGGATCACAACACTCTTTTATTGAACACAGCTCGGGCGGAAAAGCCGTGTTTACGAAAGCCTCCGGACACGGCTGCATTAACCACATTACAGAGGATTATGCTTCATTTATGGCCCGGAAATGATCAGAAGAAGAATCACAATAATGGACAGAATAAGTTTGTGAAGATCGGAGTTCGACTGGAGGAAGACGGCCATAGTTTGGATTTAAAACACAGGAGACAACTTCGGCCATGTCTGAGAGTCATCGATGACAGTTTGGGAGAGCAGTGTTTGGGCAGAGGGGGCGGGGGGACGGGCTGAGGGACAGTCGTTGTGGTCCGTCTCACATGGTCTTGGCAGATTGTGGTCACACCTGCATGCAAAAGCTAGATCCTGTCAGACCTCGGAAGCTAAGCAGGGCAGGGCCTGGTTAGTGCTGTGATGGGAGACCTCTGGGAACAGCAGGTGCCACAGTGGGGCGGCTGTAAAGTGCCAAACTGTGGTTGTGTCCTTAGGCAAGACACTTCCCCCACATTAGAATGAGTCTGGTGTGTGTGTGAGTGGTTGGTGGTGGTGGGAGGGGCTTCTGTCAGTGTGCCCCAGAGTCTGAGAAGCACTGTGTAAATCTGATGCATTATTAGTATTATTATTATTAATATTATTATTATTACTATTATTATTATTATGGACCATGGACTACCTCACTGCTTGGTCCATGGACTACACTACCTCACTACCTGTGACCATGGACGCATGGTCACATGGTCCGGTCACTGAGGACTGTAGCTGCGGCTGAACCATAGATTGTATATATTAACGGACAGAGTCATGCCTATCTCTGCCGTTCTAACTAATGTGCCAAAAAATGTGCTCTACTGGAGCAATCCAAAATGGCCGCGAGTGGTCCCGCCCACAAGAAAATTGTGAAAAAACGCATCTGCGCCAGTGGGGGAGGGTCCCAGCTCAAAAGTGGCCAAAATGACGTGCGCTGACATGCTGCAGTACCACCCCGGGCCTGTGGGGGTGGACCCTGACATGCTGCAGTACCACCCCGGGCCTGTGGGGGTGGACCCTGACCTGCTGCAGTACCACCCCGGGCCTGTGGGGGTGGACCCTGACATGCTGCAGTACCACCCCGGGCCTGTGGGGGTGGACCCAGAAGAAGAATGGGCCAATGCTAACATATAGCATTGGCAGACTTCTGGAAAACGTCTTTACAGGATGGACCAAAATTGGTTCTTGGCCCAAAGCTCCGTTCCACATGTGTGTCAATGCTGAGTGTTCTGGACCAGTCTAGTTTAGTCGCTGTGGACTTTAGAAGTCTCTCGTTTAAATGAATGGAGCTCTCTCCGGCTGACGCATGCACAGATGTGTTTTTTCACAATTTTCCTGTGGGCGGGACCACTCGCGGCCATTTTGGATTGCTCCAGTAGAGCACATTTTTTGGCCCATTAGTTAGAACGGCGGAGATAGGTCTGACTCTGTCCGTTAATATATAAGTCTATGATTTGCGCATGTGTCAGCCGGCGCAGCTCCATTCATTTGAACGAGAGACTTCAGAAATTCACAGCAACTAAACTAGACTGGTCCAAAACACCCCCCTCAGCATTGACACACATGTGGAACGGAGCTTTGGGCCAAGAGCCAACTTTTGGTCCATCCTGTAAAGACGTTTTCCAGAGGTCAGAAGATGCTATATGTTAGCATTGGCTAATTCTTATTCCGGGTCCACCCCCACAGGCCCGGGGTGGTACTGCAGCATGTCAGGGTCCACCCCCACAGGCCCGGGGTGGTACTGCAGCATGTCAGGGTCCACCCCCACAGGCCCGGGGTGGTACTGCAGCATGTCAGGGTCCACCCCCACAGGCCCGGGGTGGTACTGCAGCATGTCAGGGTCCACCCCCACAGGCCCGGGGTGGTACTGCAGCATGTCAGGGTCCACCCCCACAGGCCCGGGGTGGTACTGCAGCATGTCAGGGTCCACCCCCACAGGCCCGGGGTGGTACTGCAGCATGTCAGGGTCCACCCCCACAGGCCCGGGGTGGTACTGCAGCATGTCAGCGCACGTCATTTTGGCCACTTTTGAGCCGGGACCCGCCCACACTGGTCTGAACCTGGTGCGTCCATCTGAGGTGGAGGACACATAAGTGTCTCCAATACCTCCTTAAGTCTGATCAATGACAGTCACAGGCCTCACTCAGAGGAGCTCACAGCTGTAGGGGGGGAGGAGGGGGAGGAGGGGGAGAGGAGGAGGAGGAGGGGGGGGAGGGAGGAGGACAGGGGGAGGAGGCGGAGGGGGAGGAGGGGCTGAGACACGTACAGAGAAGAGAATCCACCAGAGCTGAGCTCTGATCAAAGGCCTGTTTGAAGTCTCACGTGTGGATGGTGCGTGTGTGTTTTGCTCGTGGGTCTCTGTCAGCACAACACACACACACACACACACAGACAGATACACACACACACACGGACAGATACACACACACACACACACTCATACAGGAGCTAACAAAGGTAGTTTAAGTGATTAGCAGATGAATGCAGACCATTACGTTCCAAACGCCTACACAGGGTCAGTGTGTTTTATAAATAGACGCCTCTCGCTCCGGTCTCTACACGTCTGTTTTAGTCTGTTTTACTCTGTTTTACTCTGTTTTATTCTGTGTGTTCTGTGTGTTCTGTGAGGACTTGAAAGCCTCACGTCTGAGACGTCTGAGCTGTCAACGCTTCAGGAGCCCAGGATTGTGTTGTTTTACTTTTCTGACTGAGCTTAATTCATTCATCTTTGAAGACATAAAGAAAAGAACATTTCTGTAAATGTTCAGATCTGAAACATCCTCGATCAGACACAACCATGTTCCATCATCCGGACCTGGGACTTAGTCCTGGTCCTGGTCTCTGTCCTGAAGTCCTCTCACATTAGTCCTGGTCTCAGGTCTCTGTCCTGAAGTCCTCTCACATTAGTCCTGGTCTCAGGTCTCTGTCCTGAAGTCCTCTCACATTAGTCCTGGTCTCAGGTCTCTGTCCTGAAGTCCTCTCACATTAGTCCTGGTCTCAGGTCTCTGTCCTGAAGTCCTCTCACATTAGTCCTGGTCTCAGGTCTCTGTCCTGAAGTCCTCTCACATTAGTCCTGGTCTCAGGTCTCTGTCCTGAAGTCCTCTCACATTAGTCCTGGTCTCAGGTCTCTGTCCTGAAGTCCTCTCACATTAGTCCTGGTCTCAGGTCTCTGTCCTGAAGTCCTCTCACATTAGTCCTGGTCTCAGGTCTCTGTCCTGAAGTCCTCTCACATTAGTCCTGGTCTCAGGTCTCTGTCCTGAAGTCCTCTCACATTAGTCCTGGTCTCAGGTCTCTGTCCTGAAGTCCTCTCACATTAGTCCTGGTCTCAGGTCTCTGTCCTGAAGTCCTCTCACATTAGTCCTGGTCTCAGGTCTCTGTCCTGAAGTCCTCTCACATTAGTCCTGGTCTCAGGTCTCTGTCCGAAGTCCTCTCACATTAGTCCTGGTCTCAGGTCTCTGTTCCTCTCACATTAGTCCTGGTCTCAGGTCTCTGTCCTGAAGTCCTCTCACATTAGTCCTGGTCTCAGGTCTCTATCCTGAAGTCCTCTCACATTAGTCCTGGTCTCAGGTCTCTGTCCTGAAGTCCTCTCACATTAGTCCTGGTCTCAGGTCTCTGTCCTGAAGTCCTCTCACATTAGTCCTGGTCTCAGGTCTCTGTCCTGAAGTCCTCTCACATTAGTCCTGGTCTCAGGTCTCTGTCCTGAAGTCCTCTCACATTAGTCCTGGTCTCAGGTCTCTGTCCTGAAGTCCTCCCACATTAGTCCTGGTCTCAGGTCTCTGTCCTGAAGTCCTCTCACATTAGTCCTGGTCTCAGGTCTCTGTCCTGAAGTCCTCTCACATTAGTCCTGGTCTCAGGTCTCTGTCCTGAAGTCCTCTCACATTAGTCCTGGTCTCAGGTCTCTGTCCTGAAGTCCTCTCACATTAGTCCTGGTCTCAGGTCTCTGTCCTGAAGTCCTCTCACATTAGTCCTGGTCTCAGGTCTCTGTCCTGAAGTCCTCTCACATTAGTCCTGGTCTCAGGTCTCTGTCCTGAAGTCCTCTCACATTAGTCCTGGTCTCAGGTCTCTGTCCTGAAGTCCTCCCACATTAGTCCTGGTCTCAGGTCTCTGTCCTGAAGTCCTCTCACATTAGTCCTGGTCTCAGGTCTCTGTCCTGAAGTCCTCTCACATTAGTCCTGGTCTCAGGTCTCTGTCCTGAAGTCCTCTCACATTAGTCCTGGTCTCAGGTCTGTGTCCTGAAGTCCTCTCACATTAGTCCTGGTCTCAGGTCTCTGTCCTGAAGTCCTCCCACATTAGTCCTGGTCTCAGGTCTCTGTCCTGAAGTCCTCTCACATTAGTCCTGGTCTCAGGTCTCTGTCCTGAAGTCCTCTCACATTAGTCCTGGTCTCAGGTCTCTGTCCTGAAGTCCTCTCACATTAGTCCTGGTCTCAGGTCTCTGTCCTGAAGTCCTCTCACATTAGTCCTGGTCTCAGGTCTCTGTCCTGAAGTCCTCCCACATTAGTCCTGGTCTCAGGTCTCTGTCCTGAAGTCCTCTCACATTAGTCCTGGTCTCAGGTCTCTGTCCTGAAGTCCTCTCACATTAGTCCTGGTCTCAGGTCTCTGTCCTGAAGTCCTCTCACATTAGTCCTGGGCTCAGGTCTCTGTCCTGAAGTCCTCTCACATTAGTCCTGGTCTCAGGTCTCTGTCCTGAAGTCCTCTCACATTAGTCCTGGTCTCAGGTCTCTGTCCTGAAGTCCTCTCACATTAGTCCTGGTCTCAGGTCTCTGTTTGTTACAAGTCTCTCCATGGTCTTGTACCAAAGTACATCTGTGTTAGTGACATATGAACCAACTCTGAGGAGCACAGGGACTGGCCTCCTGCTGGGACTCTGAGGAGCACAGGGGCCGGCCTCCTGCTGGGACTCTGAGGAGCACAGGGACTGGCCTCCTGCTGGGACTCTGAGGAGCACAGGGACTGGACTCCTGCTGGGACTCTGAGGAGCACAGGGACCGGCCTCCTGCTGGGACTCTGAGGAGCACAGGGACTGGACTCCTGCTGGTCCCAGAGTCAGGACTAAACATGAGGAGGCAGTGTTTCAGATTCATGCTACAATCTGGAACAATCTTCCTGGAAACGTGAGACAGATTCTTCTCTGACAAAGTTTAAATCTAGGTTAAAAACATTTCTGTTTCTGCAACAACTGAAGGGTTAATAATGTGTGTGTGTGTGTGTGTGTGTGTGTGTGTGTGTTAGTGCAGTCGTCTTGTGTGTGTGTGTGTGTGTTAGTACAGTCTTGTGTGTTTGTGTGTGTGTTAGTCTTGTGTGTTTGTGTGTGTGTTAGTGCAGTCGTCTTGTGTGTGTGTGTGTGTTAGTGCAGTCGTCTTGTGTGTGTGTGTGTGTTAGTACAGTCGTCTTGTGTGTGTGTGTTAGTGCAGTCGTCTAGTGTGTGTGTGTTAGTGCAGTCGTCTTGTGTCTGTATGTGTGTTAGTGCAGTCGTCTTGTGTGTGTGTGTGTGTGTTAGTGCAGTCGTCTTGTGTGTGTATGTGTGTTAGTGCAGTCGTCTTGTGTGTGTGTGTGTGTGTGTGTTAGTGCAGTCGTCTAGTGTGTGTGTTAGTGCAGTCGTCTTGTGTGTGTATGTGTGTTAGTGCAGTCGTCTTGTGTGTGTGTGTGTGTGTTAGTGCAGTCGTCTTGTGTGTGTATGTGTGTTAGTGCAGTCGTCTAGTGTGTGTGTGTTAGTGCAGTCGTCTTGTGTGTGTGTGTGTTAGTGCAGTCGTCTTGTGTGTGTGTGTGTTAGTACAGTCGTCTTGTGTGTTTGTGTGTGTGTTAGTGCAGTCGTCTTGTGTGTGTATGTGTGTTAGTGCAGTCGTCTTGTGTGTGTATGTGTGTTAGTGCAGTCGTCTAGTGTGTGTGTGTTAGTGCAGTCGTCTTGTGTGTGTGTGTGTTAGTGCAGTCGTCTTGTGTGTGTGTGTGTGTTAGTACAGTCGTCTTGTGTGTTTGTGTGTGTGTTAGTGCAGTCGTCTAGTGTGTGTGTTAGTGCAGTCGTCTTGTGTGTGTGTGTGTGTGTTAGTGCAGTCGTCTTGTGTGTGTATGTGTGTTAGTGCAGTCGTCTTGTGTGTGTGTGTGTGTGTGTTAGTGCAGTCGTCTTGTGTGTGTATGTGTGTTAGTGCAGTCGTCTTGTGTGTGTGTGTGTGTGTTAGTGCAGTCGTCTTGTGTGTGTATGTGTGTTAGTGCAGTCGTCTTGTGTGTGTGTGTGTGTGTTAGTGCAGTCGTCTTGTGTGTGTATGTGTGTTAGTGCAGTCGTCTTGTGTGTGTGTGTGTGTGTTAGTGCAGTCGTCTAGTGTGTGTGTTAGTGCAGTCTTCTTGTGTGTGTATGTGTGTTAGTGCAGTCGTCTTGTGTGTGTGTGTGTGTGTGTGTTAGTGCAGTCGTCTTGTGTGTGTATGTGTGTTAGTGCAGTCGTCTTGTGTGTGTATGTGTGTTAGTGCAGTCGTCTTGTGTGTGTTTGTGTGTGTGTTAGTGCAGTCGTCTTGTGTGTGTGTGTGTGTGTTAGTGCAGTCGTCTTGTGTGTGTGTGTGTTAGTGCAGTCGTCTTGTGTGTGTGTGTGTTAGTGCAGTCGTCTTGTGTGTGTGTGTGTGTTAGTACAGTCGTCTTGTGTGTTGTGTGTGTGTTAGTGCAGTCGTCTTGTGTGTGTGTGTGTTAGTGCAGTCGTCTTGTGTGTGTGTGTGTGTTAGTACAGTCGTCTTGTGTGTGTGTGTTAGTGCAGTCGTCTAGTGTGTGTGTGTTAGTGCAGTCGTCTTGTGTCTGTATGTGTGTTAGTGCAGTCGTCTTGTGTGTGTGTGTGTTAGTGCAGTCGTCTTGTGTGTGTGTGTGTGTGTTAGTGCAGTCGTCTAGTGTGTGTGTTAGTGCAGTCGTCTTGTGTGTGTATGTGTGTTAGTGCAGTCGTCTTGTGTGTGTGTGTGTGTGTGTTAGTGCAGTCGTCTTGTGTGTGTATGTGTGTTAGTGCAGTCGTCTTGTGTGTGTGTGTGTGT